GAACCATATGTTAATATATAAAATAATAATAAAATCATATAAAATGCAGATCCATTAAAGAAATATGCGGAATGTAGCCTGTTGTAATTGGAGCTCATTAGGATGCTGAGTGCATCTAGTGAGAGTTCGACACTAGACTAATATATAAAAAAAACAGCGAATTATCCTTTCCTAGTTGATTATTGACACAAGAAAAGGAAATGATAAGAAACCATTGAGATAGCTGATTACAGTATTCTTAATGTTACAGTTTTAATCTGTTCCAGTAACAACATTATCAAGAACTTGCCAAAGGACTCTTTCACTGAAATGTCCAATATTAAAAAAGTGAAGTTAGACAATAATCTTCTTCACGCCTTATGCTTCATGTTTGTGAAGTAAAGAATGTTAACAGTCATTCCTATCCCTTGCTGTAGTAAAGGCTTGAGTTTTATCATTTCATGGTGAGATTGTTATTGAATACCAGTGCCAGTTATAGTGGAATCGATCAGAGCAGAGTTGTCATAGTTTCAGGATGGAGTAAGGTATGTATTCATGAAAGCTGGTCGTACTTTCTTGGTTCTTGAACACAGATATTGTATGACGACGAAATAACAGCAGGCAATTGTATTTTTTGTGTCATTTTTAATTGTATGGTAGGAGGTTTACCATTCTGGTGGACCATATTTCAATGAAACGGTTGACGAATCTTAAAAATATAGAATAGTTGATAACACACTGGATAAAAAATTTTCAAGAACGACTTTGACATGTTGCATTACCTGGGCTCACAATATGGAAATGTGGATGAATTATCTCACCACTCAGAAATACCCTGCCCATTGGTGGAAAATCCTGATCCATTACATTGCATGGGAGATTAATCCATTTCTGCCATACCAGCAAAAGATCGTACAGCAAAAGATTCCACTAGTGGGTGGTTGGCACAATTAACACTTTGGAAGCTCTGGGAAGAGCAACTGAAAAACCTTGATCTAGCATGGGTTTTCCTTGCTGTGTGTTGGATGTACAAGAGTGTTTAGTGTAAGTATTATTATTTCGTTTATTTGGTGATTTAATATTTAATTTACTTTTCATAACAAGAGAGTTAAAAGTAATCATTTTAAAGGTGATAGTTATGACAAGTTTGGTTGTGTAACTCGGTAAGAGTCGTATGTTGTGTTTGCAATTACATTGTTGTCTAGGCTTTACATTACATTACTCGAATCTTCGGCATTTTCTCGTTACCTTAACTGAGTATTGTTGAATCATCGCGTCGCGTACTTTACAGAAACTTCGAGGCCTAAGTGATCAATGATATCAGTGATAAATATAGGCGACCAAGTGAATTTCACAGTTTAATAGAGATAAGGAGAATAATTTGTCTCGTAAAAGAGTGTTCTAAAGTAATTGAACTCGTTTGTGTGGACTTTGACGAAAAGGAGACAATTATTTCAAGTTCAGAAAGTGAATTATTTACTGATACTATTGTAATAACAGTAGGGAAAAATAGTTCGTCTTGTCAGTTGGATTTTAAAGTAACTGAAACAACTTAAGTGGACTTTTGACAAGAAAAGAGAATTATGTAGAGTTTAGATAAGACTGTGATATCCTATAATGTAAAGAATTTTTGTACACGCTTTTGACTTCTATAAATCAATGTATAAATATTGCTCAATTGGAGACCCAGTGAAGCCTAGGGTACAAAAAAATGTGTAGGCGTTAAGTATAGATTTTCTATGCTAATGTCTGTAACTGAGCAGTTAGAACAACTCTTTGTTTACAACCTGACATCTGGCTCAACTTCAGATCAATTGGAATTTATCTATCCTTGCATTTTCAATCCAAACATATGCTATTTCAGATCAAATTATTGACCTTGGACTAGACTGTGGTCAGCCATTATGCTTGTTTTCAAATACCCTAGTTCTATGCTGCATCATGGAATGGCTTTATGACAAATATTAGTATGCCCTGGATTTATTTTTCAGTGAGAAATTGAACTGCACAACTGACACTTCAGACACCAGCTTGATATTCATTGTTCGGCTAGCACTAAATTCTCCAGGGTAGCTAATTCCACTCTTAACCAAGAAAACACTGAGATCCACCCCTAAAATGTGCTTTTCTAGGGTGTTCTGTGAGTAAACGCTAACAGTGCCAGCTGTGATCACCACTTCAGTGGAAGCACTAAATACCAAAAACAAAGAAAAACCTTTCCATGGTTTGAACCCTCTCCAGGATTGACCAGGCTCAGGAAAGTTTGGATGACACTTCTGAAGTCGAAACCTTAACCACCCTCGATGCTACCACAACTATAACCACCAGAGGTCCAGGTGAGCCAACGAGAACATTGACCATTTTCACCACTGACACGGGTGGAATTTTTTGTAAGTGAGAGGGTGTGTCAATGTTAAGCACTGGACTTATCACTGTCCCATAATGAGGAGCTTCAATGGCAATAGAACCACAGCTATTAAAGCAACCCAAGGAGCAACCTCAGAGGCAGCCAGGGGTGTAACTTCCAACTAAGCCATCAAAGGTGACCCATGATAGAGTAAATCTCCACCTACAAGCAACACTATCAGGAAATGGTTACCAAATGGTCAGAAGTATAGCTCTTATACACGATATAGGTGGAACAGCTGTGATGGAGAGCAAAACCAGGAAGTATATATTCTGGTATTATCCATGAGGTCATCATTATGGCTGTTAATACCCAACAGGAGTGGTAACCACAAAATACATGTTATGTTCTTGTTGATGAGGCTGCTATTACATTTGATAATATCCTTTAGGAGAAGTGCCCACCAAGTACATGTTCTAGTATTATCTATGAGACCATTACTGTACTTAATAATACCCACAAGGAGTGGTAATGGTACCAGCCCGATACATGTTTTGGTCTTGTCCAAAAGGTCGTTATTACACTTGTTAATAGTCAACAGGAACGGTACTAAGTACATGTACACTAAAATACATGTTTTGGTATTGTTTATGAGGTCATTATTACATGCGATAATACCACTGAGAGTGATAAAGTTAACTGCCAATCACACGAAAAGGATGTGGTGCTTGTGGGCTAAGCTGGCTGACACAAAGATGACTCTAGTCAAAGTCCAAGACACCATAAGGGCCAGTATGACAGATAATAGAAAATCAACTGCCACACTTGAAATTATTCCGACGGCTTATGACGATGGAAGCAAAACCATATGTTTTTCATCGGCAAGTAGTGTATATTTTGTATATATTTCATGTATTCCCTTTTCAAGTGTATATTTTGTATATATTTCATGTATTCCTTTTTTAAGTGTACATTTTGTATATATTTCATGTATTCCTTTTTTAAGTGTACATTTTGTATATATTTCATGTATTCCCCTTTTTAAGTGTACATTTTGTATAATATTTCATGTATTCCCTTTTTTAAGTGTACATTTTGTATATATTTCA